TTCTCTGGCCTTCAGGTGGCATTTGCATCGGAGGGAAGGGGTTAACATGGCCGGGCCCGCCCTGTCCGCTCCCCACTCATCTCCATGCCAGGTCCATGGACATTCTTTAAACATGGTGCACGTGTCTTTTTTTATAGTTGTATTCTTCTCCAGCTTTGAATCTGTAAGAAGCCCCCAGAAAACTTCATTGATCTTAGTGGGAGGTTTGAGCAAGGCTCCCGTTGAGTGGTCTCTCCTCTCCTCTCTCCCCGCAAGACTGAGTTAGGCTTCCCAGGCTGTGAAGCATCTGTGTGTGACCGCCAGGCATGGCTCCACTGCCTGCTCCATCTTGTAGTGCAGCTGGGAGGCCTTACTGTGGCCAGAGGGCCCCTCACACTCAGGGACAAGCTCAGGGGCCTTCTTCAGTGTCCGCAGCCTCGGCTGAGGGGCCTGTTAGGAGGCCTGGGGTCCCCAGCACAACTGGAAGCCCCATGAACCACGGTTCCGGTCCCACCCTTTCCTGTGTGTCTATCCTTGGAACATTTTCATGCAGTGAATTGGGTTCTCTTAGGTCCGTCAAGAGCAGCGTGAGGAATGATGGGTGTCTAGACCAAGGGTTGCGGGGCCAGGTCAGTGCCTGCCATGTCAATGCTGGGCCTCAGGACTGCAGCTCAGAGGAGCAGGGCGTGCCTGGGCAGCCGAGGCCCAGGGCAGCAGAGCGGCCCTCCCGGCCAGGGCAGAGCTCCTTGCACTCAAATGGGTGTGGGGCGTAGTGCCCAGCCTCCCGGCCACATTGCCTTCTGGTAATTGTGTCCTGCTCCCCTGGGCACTGCATTGCTTTCCCGATGTGCGGCGCCTCCCCAGCTCTGCCTTTAGATTGTTTGTGGAGGGGGACCCTTTCCCCCTCAGTGCCGCCCTCCTGGAAAGAGCCTCGGGGTGCCCTGGTCCAGCCCTGCCAGCGCTTTGGGCCGTAGCAGTATTGTTCTTGGTGGAGGAGGCTGACTCCCATTTTGTCTGTGTTGTCAGATGCTGAGCAGCACCCCTGGGCTCTACCCACTTCGTGCCAGGAGCCCTTTCCCCCAGTGTTGACAAGAAATATCTTAGACGTTCTGGACATCCTCTGGGGGGCAGGGTTACCCCGTTGAGAATCTCAGATCTGACTGGTCGCCCGCCCCCTACAGCGTGCTCCGCCCAGCAGCCAGATGCCCCTCCCTGCACACCGCGTGCTCAGAGCCCCGCAGGGGCTTCCACCTGGCCGGGGTGGACTCTCAAGGCCAGAGCCTCCGGGCCTCAGCTTCCGCTCTCTTGGGAGCTTGCTCTGCACAGCGTCATTGGACGCTCGGGGCGCTGCACCCAGGGTCTCCACACAGCTTCTCTCTCTGCTTGGAAAGCTCCTTCCCATACTGCACTCAGATCAGTGGCCAGATGTCACTTTGGAGTGGCCTTTCCTGACCACCATTTAAAATGAGTCACCATGCTCCCCTGCGGTTGGTCTCTCACACTCACAGCCCGGATTGCCTTGTCTCTCTGTGTGGCACGTAGCACCGCCGGACCCGGGTGTCTGTCCGTCTGCCTCCCCCACTGCACTAGAATATAAGCTTTGAGAGAGCAAGAACTTGTCTCCCCAGGGCCTGGCACGTGGAAGGTGCTCGGCCATCCCTCAGATGGCTGAACTCCCCAGGAAAGCCGGGCGGAGTCCCCCTCCGTGAGGGGCAGGGGTGTTGCTTGATGCTCCTGTTCTGGAAGAGGCCGTGGGAGTGAGGGATTCAGTTCCCGGCTTCCACCAGGCACGTCTCGGAGATGTGTCACAGACGTGTTTAAAGTCATGCACGTTCGTTTCTAGAAGCTCCTCACTCCAAAACACTAACATTTTAGTGTGTCATCTCGTCATTTTTTTTTTCTGTTGAGAATCCTGATAGCTGTAGCGCTAAGAAATGTTAATAGTTCACCACCTCAGAGGTTGTTCAGAAATTTGGAACCTGTAATGACAGTTGAAATGTGTCCACCGCATCTCAGATCCCACCCCGGCAACAATTTTTTTAGAACTATGTTCGAGGTGCATCTAACAGAAAACGTGGACCGTTCCCGGCTTGGTTTTGCTTTCGAGCAGGCACAGCGCCCTCTAGTGTTAGCCTCCGGGCGTCTGGTGCTCGTGATCCGGGCGGACTCCAGGGTGAGGTGAGGAGGGCAAACCGCCCAGCCTGGGGGCTGCGCCCACCTGAGTCCTCCGCAGGTGCTCAGGGCCCTGACCACGTCCGCGGTCAGGGGCCGCAACAGTGGCCTTCCACAGGCCCCAGAAGTGAATAGGGCACCTATCACTTTTGTAAGTAGATTGGTAAGTAGATTCTAAACTGTTATTTAGAATGTGTGGACCCGCCAGAAATATGTTTCGCCCTGTTCTCTCTGCAGCTCTGGGGTGGGGCGGACTGCGAGCTGGACTGCCTGAGGTCAGGTCCCGGCTCCACCACTCAGGAGCTGTGGGACCGTGACCGAGTCACTTATTTTCTGTGAAATGGGAATGACAATAACAGTGAACTTCCTTTGTGGAGTTGTGGACGATTTCACAGGTTAAAACACAGGAAGTGCCTAGAAAACTGCCTGCGGTGTGATAAGCACCATCTGCGCTTTTACACAAGGCAGAGGACTCCAAGCTGAGTCCCCGGGAGCACAGAGGTCCCTTCCAGAGCGGGGACACCGAAGGCCTTCGTGATGCGGGCAGCACAGGGCGGGCGTGGGGAGGGAGCGTTTGGAAGGGCTGTTCAGTGGAGGGGTGCGGGCGGGCGGGAGAGTCGGCTCACCTGGAGGAGGGCAGCGCCCAGGATGGGGGGGGCGCGGGGAGTGGGGGGAGGTTGCGAAGGGAACGGAGAGCCTCGCGGTCACCCTGAGCCCTTCCGGACACCTTTTTCTAGTCTTCTGGAATCCCCAAGAGAAGGGAACGTAGCCAGAGTCGTGGCCACCAGCCCTTTCATTCTCCCGGCCACTCCCACTCCGCTTCCAGGTCGTCAGGGCTTTAGAGAAATGCTGCATCTCGTCCTGGGAGATTAGAAGAGCCTGGAGGCTGGGCACTCTGGCAGAAGGCCAGGCGCAGGTCAGGAGAGCCACATCCACAGGACGGCGTGTGCTCACCAGGCTCCCTCTCCCAGGAACACGGCGGCCGAGGCAGAGGTTCCGCACTGACCTTGTGCTGGTGCCGCGTTCATCAGCTGTGTTGTTCCTGTGTCGGCCGCAGAACAGGAGCCTCAGTTTCCCCTCAGGAGTAGTGTCCCAGGGCCAGAGTGCAGGGACACTGGTCAGTGTCCCATCAGAGACTACACTGATTGATTTAGGGTCTGCAGCTGGGCCCCTCTCCCCTGCTTTCCTGGAAGCTCTCACAGGCCTCTTCTCAGCGACCCCCGAGCTGTGGCCGCCACAGCTCACACCAGGAGCGACATCCCAGACAGCACAGTCTCTCCCCCACTGCTTTTCCTGGGGCCGCAACTTCTGGTTTGGGTGGCAGTTTGGGAAGACCTGCAATTGTGGGTTTTTGAAATCTAAAACAAGAGCAGAGGTTTGAGAGAGGGTGGGACAACGCCAAAAATACCGTGTCCCAGACCAGAGATTTGGCCACAGAGGGTTACAGTATAGGACGTTCTTAGAAAAGTGGCACCGTCATCCTAGGACACCCTTAGCAGAGCTCCACGTGGCCCCTCAGCCTCCAGGGATCTTTGAGCAGAGATGAGAAGAGGCTGGACTCAGAGGGTCTTCAGCCTGTGCCCTGCACAGCTGTAGTTTGCTGAGCACTTACTCCGCCAGGTACCTGTGACCACCTGTGCTTTTCACTGCCTTATTAACTTCCTCAACCCCTCTGCGATGGCTACTGTCACCCCGCTTTGTGCATGTGGATGTGAGCGACTAGCCTGAGGTTTCAGAGCTGGCACATCCACGGGTCTGGCTCGAGGACCCCAGATTTAGCGCCTGGGCTTGTCCTTATCTGAGTTATGGCCTTAGGTTCCCTGCCCGTGGATGCTGGAGCCCGTTGCTTCCTCTGTACTTTTGTGTAAGTCACGTTATACTAATAGCGGAGTTGGTTTTAGCCATCATTGCCAGATTTCGGTGACCTTGAGCCATTGGCTTCCGTTTGCAGTGTCCCAGCTCGCCTTCCGTGGAGGTGACCTTGCCATGCCCCACAGCTTGAGGGGTGTTGTTGGTTGAGGAAACAACTTTCATCCCTGTGCTTTGAGGCCTTGGGGGGTGCCCATCCGAAGGAGGTGGGCGGTCACAGACGCACCGTTAGTTACCGTGCCTCGGAGGAGCTAGAGAGGGGCAGTCCCAGGTCTGAGGAGCCAGCAAGGAGGGCGTGCTGGCCTGGCAGGGGACCCCCTCCTACCCGGGGCTGTTGGACGGGGAGCCAGTGCCCAGCGCAGGGGGGACGGCTCTCGTGGGCCCTGGCTGTCCTCTCGGAGGGATGGGTCAGGTGCTCGCCATGCAGTTGGCCGGCTCCCAAAGCCGGCCGCCCGCAGGTCTCCGCAGCACGATGGATAAAGGGCAGCTGCAGCTGTCGGGAAGGCTGGCCGGATTAGAAGGTGGTGGCGGCTGATAGCAGGCGTCAGGGTGACCCCTGCAGCTCAGCAGCACGCCCCCTTCCTCAGCACTCAGCAGCAGGGTCAGAGGGCAGGCACCTGCAGAAACTAGAAAAAAGATTTCGCTCATAGCAAAATGTTCTGCTCTCTTTGGAATGGGCTCTTAAATCTTGAATTTAAATGAGGCCTTTGTGATCTGTCCTGTAGCCACACTTTCCAGTGTGATGAAATGGCCTCTGGTAAGCCCGGCGTTGGCTTTCGGTGGGGAGAGTTAGTGCCTCGGGTCCGTCTCTTGCTGTAGGTGCAGCTAGAGGTGTGTGCGCCGCGTGTGAACACCATGCTCCGCGCGTAGGAGTTGTGCGCTTAGCTGTAGTGTGTACCTTCCCCAGGAAGCTGGGAGAAGCACGTACCCTGTGGTGACTTGGGCCAGCCCCTCACACCCGCTCGTGTTTTCTTGTGCAGCTGAAACTCGAGGACCGCTCCGTGGTGCCCCGGGATGTGGTCCGGCACATGCGATCCACCGTGAGTCCTGCGTCCCCCTGGCGGGGGAGTGCGTGGGAGTGGGTGGGAGTCGTCTGGGCTGGGCCTCCCAAGGTGGCCGGCACCGTATGCCTGCTCGGGCCTAGGTGCCTTCTCCTCCCCAGGACAGCCAATGTGGCACTGTGATAGACGTCAGCATCGACTGCGCTGTCAAGCTCATCGGCACCAACTGCATCATCTACCCCGTCAACAGCAAGGACCTGCAGCACATCTGGGTGAGCCGCCCTGCCCGCCCCTCACGCCCCCGCCCCCTCGCTCTGGCTCCATGGTCCTCTGCCACACGCGCAGGCGCTGCCCCTCGCAGCTCAGGTGGCACAGCTCAGGGGCCACTCACCCCCTTGGAGCCCGCCTGCCGCTCCTTGTCAGGGACCGTGTGCACACGAGGTCAGGACACACCCCAATTTGGCGGCTCCGACCCCAGCATCAGTTGCAGGTGTGGATCCCATACCTAGTTTCTCTCCTCCCCTAACACTTACTTGTCCTTTTTTAAACAAATTTCTTTTCACTAACTTATTTTTTAAATGATTTCAAACTTGCCAAACGTTGCGAGTTCCTGCACCCCGCTGCATCACCCAGGACCCACGGCCGTTCACTTGCTCCCTTTGCTCCCTCCTCCCTCCTCCCTCCTCCCCACGTTTCCTTCTCTCTCCTTGAGAGCAGGCTACAGATGTGATGCCCCATGACGCCTAAATACTACAATGTGCATGTCCCCCAGACAGGAACACTCCCCTGTGTAACCACCGTTTGGCCCCCAGATTAGGGAGTTGGTCGTTACTGCCCGATTCTGTCGTCTCTTTTGGCCTTTCGGATCCAGAACTCCATTCGGGAACACACTTTGCATTTAGTGGTCAACTCTTGATCTTCTCCAGTCTGGACCAGTTCCCCAGTCTGGCTTTGTCTTCCACATCCTGATACATCCCTCACTTGACCCTGACCATAGGCTGTCTGAAGTTGGCTTGGTGCCCTGGACACCAGTGTCATCTCTCGCACCCTGCGTTTACTGGCAGGGCATGCATGATCAAACAGGTTTGGGGACCACTGCCCTCAAGAGGGATTGGTGCCCTGGACACCAGTGTCATCTCTCACGCCCTGTCTCCTTGGTCTTCAGCCCTTCATGTACGGGGACTATGTAGCCTATGACAGCTGGCTGGGGAAGGTCTACGACTTGAAGAACCAGATCATCCTGAAGTTGTCCAATGGTGCCAGGTACTAGCTCCCCACAAAGGAGCCATCCGCTCGGTGGGGCCGCCACTGGGAGGAGGGGGGTTGGGGGTTTTCTCATGGCCCTGTGATGACAGGTTTCATCCAGGGCCATGACAGGTGCTGTGGATATTCGGGGCCTGACCCTGGGCACCTGTCTCCTGTCACCGCAGCTGAATTCTCTCACTCAGCATCTGGTCTGTGCTGTATCTTGATTCAGAGAGAGAAGCATTATCACTTAGGATACCTGCTAGGGCCTGATGCTTTACCTTAGACACTCGGGGCTGGGGTTGGGGTCTGGTTCATTTTAGGAGAGTTCCTTGTACCAGTTCAGAAGCTGAGCTGCGGACAGAGGAGGAATTGTGCCATTTTAGGGCATGCAACATGTTGGCGCCTCTGGATAACTCCTTTTGATACTGATCAGCACCACACTGGGTCCTGGCTGCCACGCCTCCCCTGAGACTCGGTCATTGTGCCACGTGGAGACCAAGCCCATGTTCACTGTTTCAGGTGCTCTATGAACACAGAAGATGGTGCCAAGCTCTACGACGTCTGCCCACACGTCAGTGACTCAGTACGTTTGGCGCGGGGTGTCTCAGCCCTCTGGGCTGTGCAGGAGGGAGGACTTCTTAGCAGAGAGCTGGTAGCCGACCTGGGCTAAATGGTGCTTCTAGGCAAAGCAGTTTCCTAGAAAAGGGGCAGGCGGGTACCAGATCTGAAAGTTTGGGTGTGGACAGAAAATATTGGAACTTTTCTTTGATTATATTAATTTTTATCCTCTTAAAACCCCCATTTTTCTGTCGTAGAGGACATGCAGTGTTAGTACAGTGTGACACATTAGAACAGTTGTGTGCGACACCGTTTGTAGATAAGTTTACTGGCAGGGCGTGCATGATCAAACAGGTTTGGGGACCACTGCCCTCCAGAGCTTTAGTCCTCAGAGTGTCACCAGTGTCACCAACATTGGCGTGGCCTGGGAGCTTGTGAGAAACAATGAGTCATATGTGCATTCTAAGATCTCCAGGTAGTTTACACACACCTTAGGTTTGAGAGGTGCTGCTCTGGAGCCTGAGGGCTTGCTTTAGGGAGCATGGAGGCCTTCGAGGGGGGCATGGCACGGAGAGCACCAACTCCAAGGAGGCACACTCACAGGGCTCCCCTCTGGTCCCAAATCCTGCAGGGTCTTTTCTTCGATGATTCCTACGGCTTCTACCCGGGCCAGGTGCTCATCGGCCCAGCCAAGATTTTCTCCAGCGTCCAGTGGCTGTCAGGGGTCAAGCCCGTACTCAGCACCAAGAGCAAATTTCGGGTGGTAGTAGAAGAGGTAGGGACTGGGAACCAGGGGGTGGGGACAGGACCTCAACCTCCATGCCCCGGAGCTAGCTGCTGCCCGCCCTTCTCTGCCTGCTCTGAGGGCTAAACCCTGCTCCTGGGCCTCTGGACCCTGTTGATTTGAAAGGGCTTTGTGGTCACGGGGTGACCAGCAGACAGATATCCCCCAGCCTGACCAACCCAGGCTGTGCAAGGTGGGCGAGTGACGAATGGCAGATCCACTGGGCCCTGACTGGTGGTGAGGAGGTGACAGGGATCCCTGGGGTGGGGCTGCAGTTACGGGTGGGGCCTGCTCTGGGGGTGTTCGTACTTGGTGCAACACTGTGAAGACCTGCTTCCTGCCGTGGAGGTCAGGTGGGTTCTGGGCAACAGCTTAAAGAGAGAGCTGTTAGGACCCGCTGACCGAGGCCCTGTCCCACTCACTGTCCCCAGGTGCAGGTTGTAGAGCTGAAAGTCACATGGATTACCAAGAGCTTCTGTCCAGGGGGCACAGATAGCGTCAGCCCCCCACCCTCTGTCATCACCCAGGAAAACCTAGGCAGGTGAGCAGCGCCAGCACGCGACCCACTCCAGCAGCCCCAGGGCCACGCCCTGAGTAGGCCTCGGGGCCAAAGCCATTCGCGGGGGGACGAGGACTGCTGGCCCAGCCCCGCTTCTCCCCGCCCAGGGTGAAGCGTCTCGGATGCTTTGACCATGCTCAGCGGCAGCTGGGGGAGCGCTGTCTGTTTGTCTTCCCGGCCAAGGTAGAGCTGGCCAAGATTGCCTGTGAATGTCCAGAAAAACACTGCGCCCAGGGGGAGGGCTCTATGGCCAAGAAGGTATGTCCTCGGGGTTGGGGTTGGTGGGCGTTTGAGGAACTGGCCTTGAGCCATTTCCGAAGCCAGGAAGGATGGTCTGTGCTTCAGGCCTTGGGGGGCAGCCCTGATGATGCTTGCAGGCCACTTAGGTGTGTATAGCTGTCACTCCCCCTACCCCCAGATCAAACTGCCTGAGCGCCCCACACACCCAGGGCAGGGCCCTGCTCGCCACAGCCTCCCCCTCCCGGCTCTGCCCTCGCAGGTGAAGCGCCTCTTGAAAAAGCAAGTTGTGAGGATCATGTCCTGCTCCCCGGACACCCAGTGCTCCAGGGACCATTCCATGGAGGATCCGGGCAAGAAAGGGGGCACCAAAGCCAAGAGTGAAACAGGGTCCGCCAGCCCTGAGGAGACGCCCGATGGGTCCGCCAGCCCGGTGGAGATGCAGGACGAGGGCCCGGAGGAAGGCGAGCAGCTGCCTCCCTTCCTAAAGACGACAGGCTGCACGCGGGGGAGCAAGATGCGGATGACGAGGCTGCCGACGACACAGACGACACCAGCTCGGTTACCTCCTCTGCCAGCTCCACCACTTCCTCACAGAGCGGCAGCGGCACAGGTCGCAAAAAGAGCATCCCCTTGTCCATCAAGAACTTAAAGCGGAAGCACAAGAGGAAGAAGAATAAAATCACTCGCGACTTCAAGCCGGGGGACAGGTACACCCAGAAGGCGTCCTCTCCCTGCTGGCTGAGCGTCCGGCCCGAGAGCATGCCCTTGGCGCCCATATGCACGTGCACACTGGGGCTCGTGCACGTGGTGTGCACACACGCTCTGCAAACCCTATAAAGGCTCGCGGTACCTAGTTGAGGTGACATAGGTGCCTGGGGTTGGCCTGGGGGGACAGGAGAGATTCGAGAGTAAGACAGAGGGTAGAACAGTGGCATTGGCCCTGAGTCTGCCCTCTGGGACCACAGTCACTTGAAATCTCCCAAACGGGGCCATCCTCAGAGATGGCAGGGCGTGGGAACTGTAGGTGAGCATCTGCTGACTGTTTTTCTTCCTTCTTGCCTGGGATTAAGAGTTTCGGGTCACCGGGTCCCCAGGATGGGGTAGGAGTACTTGCCCTTTCCTCTGGGAAGCCCGTGTGGCCTGACTCACCACTGGTCCTGCCCTGCAGGGTGGCAGTGGAGGTGGTGACCACGATGACCTCGGCAGACGTGATGTGGCAGGACGGCTCTGTGGAGTGCAACATTCGCTCCAATGACCTCTTCCCCGTGCACCACCTGGACAACAATGAGTTCTGCCCCGGAGACTTCGTGGTGGACAAGCGAGGTAGTGTGGCGCCGGGGGCCTGGCTGCTCGGGCCGCGCTGGGCCGGGGGAGTGAGGCTGCCTTTTGTGGGTGGCTCGCTCTTTTGAGGACTGGGGAGTATTTTCTGGCCTCCTGTGACCTCGCAGGGGACGAGCGGGTTCTGAGCCCTGCTGTGGTTGACACGCGGTGGGTGGCAGGCGGCACCACCATGGCTGCTCTGCTAGTCGCGTGTCCTCCTCTGGTTCTCTAGTCCAGAGCTGTCCGGACCCCGCGGTCTACGGCGTGGTGCAGTCTGGGGACCACGTGGGCCGCACCTGCATGGTGAAGTGGTTCAAGCTGCGGCCGAGCGGGGACGACGTGGAGGTCAGCGTGCGCCGCCCCGCCCCTCCCTTCAGGGTGGGCTCTGGGGGGCTCGGCATAGGGCCCCAGGGCTCATGACCACCATCCTGTGCCCCAGCTGATTGGAGAAGAGGAAGACGTGAGCGTTTACGACATTGCTGACCACCCTGACTTCCGGTTCCGCACAACCGACATCGTCATCCGCATTGGCAATGCCGAGGATGGGGCCCCTCACAAGGAGGATGAGGTACACCCCCTTGTTCAGGCCCACAGCGGCTGCCCCTCCCTTGCAGCAGCTGCAGTGCCGGGGGGTGCCACCAGGTGGCCCTAGAAGCCAACCTGCAAGCCCTGTGGGCTCCTGGCTGCCCCAGGCGCCTTCCCCAGCAGAGCAGCTGCCCACAGCAGAGCTGCGGCTGTGCCTGACCACCTGCCCGCCCGCCCGCTGGGTCGCACCACATTCACGCAGCTGTTCTGGTATTTAGGGAAGCGTGCTCCTTGTCTTCAGGGCCACGAGCATGACGTTGAGTGCTGAGGAGCACGGGACAGGCTTGTGGGCTCCTGGCTGCCCTAGGCGCCTTCCCCAGCAGAGCAGCTGCCCACAGCAGAGCTGCGGCTGTGCCTGACCACCTGCCCGCCCGCCTGCTGGGTCGCACCACATTCACGCAGCTGTTCTGGTATTTAGGGAAGCGTGCTCCTTGTCTTCAGGGCCACGAGCATGACGTTGAGTGCTGAGGAGCACGGGACAGGCTTGGGGAGGTGGCGTCAGAGCCGGGCGTTGGAGAACAGGGGAACCTTGGTTGGGGTCAGGCAGATTCCAGCAAAGGAAAAATAGGAACAAAAGTCCCAAGGCTGGTTCCCCGTCCTGGGAATGCCTGGAAGCCCAGAGAGACGGGAATGCTTTGAGAGGGAGGGAGTTAGTGGGCCGTGTACTCGGCTGCCAGGGGGATGAGTGGGAGCTTTGTGGACGAGGCACGTTGTTTCTGTGTGAGCAGGAGGGTCCCCCACTTGAGTATCTCGCTGTGGCCTCTGGTCGATGCCCAGTCCCCGTTATTGTCACGGCCTCGCCCTGGCCACCCACTGCTGGAGCTCCCTTTCTGGGAGGGCTGCACTCTTGACCCTGTCATTTGTCCTGCAGCCATCGGTCGGCCAGGTGGCCCGCGTGGACGTCAGCAGCAAGGTGGAGGTGGTGTGGGCTGACAACTCAAAGACCATCATCCTGCCCCAGGTAAGGTCCTGCCAAGATCTAGCCACTTGGCTTGCAACTGTGGCGGCTGGGCTGGAAGCCATGGCCTGTCTCCTGTCCCCACTCAAGGAACAGGAGTACAGGCTCCAGATCTGGCAAGGGGTCTTCTTTCGGGTAAAAGGGTCTCAGGGAAGACTTGAGAAGAAGAGCAGCGTGACACACACAGCCCGGTGGTCCCACCTGGCAGGCTCCCATACTGTCAGGTGCATGTAGATTTCCATGGACCAGCGCGTTGAGACCGGGTCTCTATCTCGCTGTGTGCGGAAGTGCAGGTTACTTTCCGTAGACAACAGAGCCACCTACATTTCACAGGCCAGGGGGAGGGAGAGCAGAGCTGGCCCCAGCCCCAGCGCCTGCCGGCACACTCTGAGCTACGAGGCTGTCTTCAGTACTTTTCCTTTGTCCCCTTGTTTGAGGCATCCTCGTGCCCCAGCTCCCCTCTCCTGGCACCAACATGCGGTGGGGGAAGGGAATGGCTCCCTCCTCCCTTAGGCAGCCGTTGCAGGGATGGGAAGAGCATGTGACATAGGCCAGCTCTCCCACACCTCCCCCTCCTCCAGCATGTTCCCCGCTCCCAGTGTGGCTGGGCAGAGGCCTCTGACCTGAGTCCGGCGGGGGCTGGATTTCCCCCGAGGGTAAATGCCGACTCAGCTCACAACAGTGAGAGGAGAGGCCTGGCTGGGGCTCCCAGTCCTGCTGCAGGGGTGGAGCGGGCGAAGGCACCTGGCAGAGACCTAGGTGCCACCTAGCGCAGAAGAGCCACCTGCAGAGTCCAGAGTGGGAAGCGGGGAAGGGCAGAGCCGTCCCGTCCGCTCCGGGGGTCAGGGTCCCTGAAGCCCGTGTCGCTCCTCCGAGCCGCCTTGCCTGTCTGCCTCCAGCACCTGTATAACATCGAGTCTGAGATCGAGGAGTCGGACTACGACTCCGTAGAAGGCAGCACCAGCGGGGCGTCCTCAGACGAGTGGGAGGATGACAGTGACAGCTGGGAGACGGACAACGGCCTGGTGGAGGACGAGCACCCCAAGATAGAGGAGCCCCCCATCCCACCCACTGAGCAGCCAGCAGCCCCCGAGGAGGACAAGGGGGTGGTGATCAGCGAAGAGGCTGCCACGGCCGCCATTCAGGGCGCCGTGGCCATGGCCGCCCCCGTGGCTGGGCTGATGGAGAAGGCTGGCAAGGACGGGCCCCCAAAGAGTTTCCGGGAGTTGAAAGAGGCCATCAAGATCCTGGAGAGCCTCAAGAACATGACCGTGGAGCAGCTTCTGACCGGCTCCCCCACCTCCCCCACGGTGGAGCCTGAGAAACCGACCCGAGAGAAGAAGTTTCTGGATGACATCAAGAAGCTGCAGGAGAACCTCAAGAAGACCCTGGACACTGTGGCCATCGCGGAGGAGGAGAAGATGGAGGCCGTGCCGGACACAGAGCGCAAGGAGGACAAGCCCGAGGCACAGTCCCCTGTGAGGGCCGAGTGGCCCAGCGAGACCCCGGTGCTCTGCCAGCAGTGTGGCGGCAAGCCCGGGGTCACCTTCACCAGTGCCAAGGGCGAGGTCTTCTCGGTGCTGGAGTTCGCACCCTGTGAGTTAGCCCCTCAGTGTCCATGGGTTCGGGGCCGGGCGGCTAGCCCCTCCCAGCCCTGCTGCCTCTCCAGGGTCATGGCCGGGGTGGGGTGGGACATTTTCCTGATGTGGTCACCAGTCCTGGTGCCAGGAGGGGCGGGCGGGACGCATGAGGGTGAATTACCCCGTCTGACAAGCACACCCAGCAGCTGCTCCCTCCCAGCCAAGCTTCCCAAGGCCTGCAGCTGCCCTTCCGGCCGGAGCTCCTGGGGCCTCGCCTCAGAGGTTGACCATTCTCTCTCCCCCTCTAGCAAATCACTCTTTTAAGAAAATTGAGTTCCAGCCTCCAGAAGCCAAGAAGTTCTTCAGCACGGTGCGGAAGGAGATGGCGCTGCTGGCCACCTCGCTGCCCGACGGCATCATGGTCAAGACTTTTGAGGATAGAATGGCAAGTACCCGGCGGGGGCCTGGCGGGCGGGTGCAGAGGTGCCGTGTGGGCCCGACCTGCAGGCCCGAGGGGCACCTGAGGCCACCACAGCGCTTACAGGGCAAGAAACAGGCTCGGTCGGTGGGGCGGGGACAAGATTCACACCATGTGTCTAGACCAGGTGGCTTGTTCTTTCGTCCTTGTTTTAAAGTTTTAAGTTATGTAATTATTATTACTTGAGTGGAATCTTCTTTTTGAAAAATTAGAACATTGCAGGAAAAGCTGAAGTGGTCTTTGACCGATCCTCGCCCCGCCCCCAGGGGGTCATGACCCCAGGAGTTAGGCGGGTCTCTGCGGATGCCCTTTTTTGTTGTTTTTACGTCTCGTGCATTGCCCTGCGCGCTGTTTTGTGTGATTTGTTTTACACAAGTAGCACGTCACTGTACACATCATCTGTACCTCGCCTTTTCCCCTCAGCAGGCTGATCTGAGACTGCCCACTGCCCACGCACACGCTTCCTCTAGCTGTAGAATAGCAGCCTGGGGTTTGCGTTGTGCTGCCCGAGGCCGGGCGAGCGCTGCCCCGTGTGCTCCAGGCGTGGGCCAGCCGTTCCATCTGCCACCTCGTTCACTCAGCAGACCTCTCCTGGGCCCCGGCTGTGTCAGGCCCCCTGCAAGACTCTGGATTTGAGTCTGACCACGGTCCCTGGCTCTGGCCCGGCCCTGGAGAGGGGGCCAGAGGAGAGAGTGCACAGAGGGGTGCTGTTCAGAAACCCAGGGCGGGGCCGGAGCTCGGACAGGGCTGTGCTGCTCGAGGTTTTCCATGATGCTTGTGGTTTTTCTTGGATTTTAGAGTAAAATTCCTTTTGACATTCCAGCCTGTCTCAGCTCTGCTGAGAGATGAATGGAGTCGAATTTTTTGTTTTGTTCTGTTATTTTCCAAATCTCACTCAGGGAACCTGAGGCTGCGGGGCGGCCCCAGGGGGCACTCGCGAGAGGACCCCTTCATTCCCGTGGTGCTTCGCCCTCACCGTCTTTCTAGCTCGTCACCCACCCCCGTGCCCGCGGCCCTGGCCGCAGGCACCGCTCGTCCCCGACACACGGATTTCAAGTGTCTGTGGGGAGTTTGCCCGATGACTTAACGACCTGCGTTCTTGGTGTCTCCTGGCATCTTCCCCTGGAGTCCAAATCCTCTTGTTCCTTGAGTTTCCCAAAAGCAAGTGCGGCCTCGATCGTGGAATGTTCTTTATTTTTCGGTTGGTTGTAATCGTTGCTTGCCTTGTTGGGAAGTGGGGTCAGGGCAAGTGTTTTGAGAAATACAACTTAGAAGTGACTTTATGAGAAAATGGCCTGATAGGATCAAAACCAGTTTAGAAACCTCTTTTTATGCCAGGAGTCACAAGATGCCAAGCAGGTCTGTGCCAAGAGATTTACATGTAGCTTCTCCGCCCCTGGCCGCACCTGGCATCCCGGGGAGCTCTCCTCCTGCCCCCCCATCCACGTGGGAGTCCCCGCCAACCACAGCCCCCCTTCCCCCTCCAGGACCTCTTCTCGGCCCTGATCAAGGGCCCTACTCGCACCCCCTACGAGGACGGCCTCTACCTGTTTGACATCCAGCTCCCCAACATCTACCCGGCCGTGCCCCCCCACTTCTGCTACCTCTCCCAGTGCAGTGGCCGCCTGAACCCCAACCTTTACGACAACGGGAAGGTGTGCGTCAGCCTCCTGGGCACCTGGATCGGAAAGGTGAGTGCCGTGCCGTGCCCTGCCCAGTGGGGCGGGGGGGCCTGCCGGGGCGGGCGTCTGGGACACAAATGATCATGCTATGTGTGTGTGTGTGTCTCAGGGGACAGAGAGGTGGACAAGCAAATCCAGCCTTCTCCAGGTGCTCATCTCCATCCAAGGTACAGTGGGTGGGGCTGAGGGGCGGGGCTCGGGAGGGCCGCTAGAGGGCACAGCGACTCTGTCCCCTCCCAGGCCTACAGGCCTGGCCATCCCGTGGGGGCTGTGGTCAGGCCAGCCTCAGCGGTCTCCCCCGCAGGTCTGATCCTGGTGAACGAACCGTACTACAACGAAGCCGGCTTCGACAGCGACCGGGGCCTGCAGGAGGGCTACGAGAACAGCCGCTGCTACAACGAGATGGCGCTCATCCGCGTGGTGCAGTCCATGACCCAGCTGGTGCGGCGGCCGCCCGAGGTCTTCGAGCAGGAGATCCGGCAGCACTTCAGCGCTGGCGGCTGGCGGCTGGTGAACCGCATCGAGTCCTGGCTGGAGACCCACGCCCTGCTGGAGAGGGTCCCGGCCCTGCCCAACGGGGTGTCCAAGGACAGCAGCTCCGCAGAGCCGCCCGCCAGGGCGGAGCTCTCAGACTGCGGCCGAGAAGAACCTGAGGACGGCGGACCGGCCCCCGGAGAGGCCTCCCAGGGCTCGGACTCCGAGGGCGGTGCCCAGGGCCCGGCCTCGGCCAGCAGGGACCACACAGACCAGACTTCGGAGGCAGCGCCTGACGCCTCGGTGCCACCTAGTGTCAAACCAAAGAAGCGGAGGAAGAGCTACCGGAGCTTCTTGCCTGAGAAGAGTGGCTACCCTGACATTGGCTTCCCCCTCTTCCCGCTTTCGAAGGGCTTCATCAAGAGCATTCGGGGCGTCCTGATGCAGTTCCGGGCCGCGCTGCTAGAGGCCGGCATGCCTGAGAGCTCAGGCGACCAGTAGCCGCCAGCCCTTGAGGAAGGAGATCTCGGTGGGAGAGGCCAGCTGCAGCCTGCTCACTCCCTGCCATGGAACCTCCCCTCTCCCCGTTTCCTCCTCTGTCCCCCATGCGGGCCCCCCACTGCCCCCCTCTTCCCAAGGTGAGTTTGATGCTGATGTGCAAGAAGTTTCTTGAGATGCTGCCATTTCTATTCCGAAGCAATCTTTCAACAGGCGGGTCCCCTGCGGCAAAGCAATTCTGAATGCCGTTGCTGATTTTCCACTTGTTGCCCCAGGCAGAGTGTCCTGGCACTTCCCGTCTGCCATCTCCACCTCAGGTCGGAGGTGGCGTCCTCCTCGGGCCTGACGCGGAGGCTCCTGGGGCCGAGCGCTGTGCAGAGCGGCCGCCAGACGAGTGGATGTGCCTTGCATGACGTGTGGGTTGCTCCGGCAGTTCCCCTGGTCCCTTTCATCTTTTGCAGTTCCATTGTAGCGTCCCCATGTCCCAGGCCACTGCCACCAGATCCTCCCTCCTCCCCCAGCATCATCACTCTTCTCTGGGAGTCGTAGCCGCTGTCACCCACCCCTGACTCCATTCTGGCCCATTACCACAGGATAGCCCTCAGACCTGTTGAACTGGCCCTCTAAGAGAGGTTGGGACCAGGCTGGGGTCAGGGTGCCACTCAGGAGAGGTGGTGGCCCTCACACTACCATGAAGCGAGGCCCAGGGAGCTGCTGGGAAAGAAACAGCTGTAGGTGCCTTGCTCTTCCTGTCCCACGGGACCGCGAGTCCGGAGTTCTGGCTTCAGGGGTCCTCTTCCCGCTTGACCTGAAGCCAGTGTCCGCCCCCTGCTCAGTCAGGTCCCAGGACCCCAGGAGGCGAGAACAGCAGCACACCCAAGGCCTGGGCCAGTGCTAGGGCCTCTCCAGGGACTTCGCCCCTCCCACTATGAAATGCCGACGCTGGGAGGTGGCCTGCAGCTCACTGCACACGGCGAGCCAGCCCTCTCTCCCATGCACACCGGGCCTCCTGTCAGCCCTTAGCTTACAAAACTGCAGGCTCGGTCAGAGAGGTGGCCTGCGTGGGGTCCCCGCCCTCGCAGACAGGCCCAGAGGTTTACAAGTTTTCTAAGCTTTTGATAATGTGAAGCTCCAGGTTAAGAGGATGCTGTTGAGCACATTGCAGCTATGTAATTTTTGGTGTATGTATGTAATATTTAAGGTTGAAAGAAAATAAATCTCAAAAGCAAAGATATTAACTCTTATTAGAAAAACAAACAAAAAAAGCCAAAGCATGAGCGTCTTGTCCGCCTTAAGCTGGCTCCACACCTGTGCTGTGCCATACTCACCCGGCGGGCAGCAGCCGCGGGAAGGACGGGGCCCGGGCCGCGGCGTCTGGAGCCCAGAGTCGGTATCTTGTTTGAGAAACATCCGGAGTGACTGGTGGGGCTGTGCTTCCCAGTGCGTTGTTCGTGTGGAGATGTGAATGCCTACTGCTTAAGATATCTGTATAAAGTGCTGTGTGATTAAACTTTTTTTTTACTTGCATTTTTTTGTTTGGCTCATTACGATGTACAAAAAAAGACAAGGTGGCACCATTAAACCTGCCTCTGCCATTCAGCTGGGCTCTGTCGCCTTTCTTCCCCTCTGGGGCACCTCACACACCCCTCCCCGGGGGAAGGAAAGACCCCTGTTGCCAGGGAAGGCTTGTGGCAGCAGCACAGGGGCTTCGTGCCATCTGCCTTTCCAGCCATAGGATTCACAGGAGCCGAGAGAGCGGGACCCGGAAGCGTGGCTGGCGGTCAGTGTTCCTGCCTCCGGGCGGGGCTGTGTTTGTTCTTCAAGAGCCACTTTTAGCAATGTCACCACCCTCCAGATGCTGGGGCTGCTGACATCGAAGCACCTGGCTGGGCTTTGAGCCTAAAGGATCGCCCAGTTGGGGGGGATTGCCATCCACCCCTCCCTGCTGCTGCCTTTTAATTCCTGCCCAACATTCCCCCACAGGCCGGGGTGGGGCAGGGCAGCCCGAGGGCCCTCCGTGGGGGGGTGACAGGCTCCTTTTAAAGAGGGAACCACTGCCTGCCATTTTGGTTTCTGTTGCTCTTTGGCAATTTCTCCGGTGCCACTTAATTGGAGGCATTTTCCCTTTTCTCTGAGACTGGCTGGCCGTGAGGCCCTAGGTAAGACATACTAGCTCCCAGCCTGGCATCCGGTGTATGGGGGGAAGCAGTCGGTTGAGCTGCCTGGCTTCTTCCAGGCCAAAGGGGGTACAATCATCTTTGAAGCAGGGCCCGACTCCTGCAAAAGAAGCCTGGTCCAGCTCTGGTCCTGCGCCCACCACCAAAATGACTGTGCCCAGTCTAGGAGGCACCATTGGGCATCATTAACATGAAATTCTAAAGCTCTGGCAGAAGCAAGACCCCATTCTCTCCCTCACCCCTAAAATAAGACCGGTAGGCTGGGAATGTCACTTTATTTGGATCTGACTCAGAACAAAGGAGTGGCTTCCACAGGTGGTAGGGCCCAAGCAGCTGGGCTCCTGGCCTGGGGCCTCCTTCCAAAACACAGCCTCTACCCACCCTTTAGGAGTCCTGGCCACACGAGCTGGGACGGGGCCCTCCCATCCTGGAAAGAGGGAGGGTCCTGAGCTCAAATTAGACTGAGGAGACAGACTAAGGCACAGCAAGGCCCACGGAGTCATAAGGGTTCTCCTGGAGGCGGCGTCTGCTGAGGATTCTGGCTGGGTAGGGGCTGTGGCTCCAGAGGGGCTGGGGGCTCCACGTGGCCGCTGACCATCTGGAAGTAGTTTGGGTGCACCTGGCCCTGCACAGCCTCGCTGACAATCAGCTCCCCGTCCACGGCAAACATGCCCTTCCCGTCCTTGGGCTCCAGGCGGAAGGCAGCCACGGGCACATACTCCAAGTAGGGACAGCCATAGTCCATGTGCCTGCCCTTCTCCATGGCCAGGAAGAGGCGCAGCAGCATGGCCCGAGACACGCCTGCCCGCACGTAGAACAGATGCATCGTGCCGGCCGCACAGTGGCCCATGGGTGCAGCAAACATCTCACTGCCCAGATGTGAGTGCAGCAGCGCCAGCACCAGCACGAAGTCCTGCTCGGGCACCACAGTCCAGTGAGAGGGCACTGGCTCCTCCAAGGGCACGAGGTGGGTGTCCACAGGGCCCGGCTGGTCCTGCCGGTCCAGAGCGGGGAAGGCAGGCACCTTGGAGACCACCCGTTCTGCAGGAAGGTAGGCCAGTCGGCCCCGGTAGATTCTCAGGGTTGCCAGCCGCAGGATGGTGCCCACGGTGAAGCGCATCTCCCCCAGGCGCCGGAACTTCTCGCTCTCGATATCCACATCGGCAATGAAGCCCCAGGCCAGGCTGAGCACCGAGAAGATCCGCAGCCCAGAGGCCATCTGCAGGGACAGCAGGTTCATGGGAGCCAGCAGCCTGCGGCACAGCAGCCGCGTACAGTTGGTCAGGAGGTCTTCGTTGGTCACCTGTTCGTAGCTGCAGGGGAAAAAGCATCCTCATATATCTTCCCCTTCCTCCTCCCGGGGAGTGGGGGCAGGCAAGGCGACCCTGGGTGCCTAGGGAGCCGGCAGGAATGAAGGATGGAGCAGGTGGAGGCAGCCAGCTGGTGTCACCAGAAAAGGGTCCCAGAACTAAGGGCGGAAGCTCTGGAAAAGGGGCACCTGAAGTTCCCCCAGAAAATGGGAATTTATAAAAGCACCCGGCAGAGGGGCGGCCCGGTAGGGAAGCTGAGGCCCGCTCTGGCCTCAAGTTCTCACCCGGCATAATGGTTCAGAGAAGCTGCCAGCGCGTTGCCAGAGCCGGCGGGCAGGCTGCACAAGGGCTTCCGGATGGCGGTCTCCCAGTCCGGCCGCGCCATGAGTCCATTCACCACCTGCGGAAACACGGGTGGCCTCAGCCTGGGGACACCCCGTGCCCACCCCCCACTCCCAGCCTGTGCAGGCCTCACCTCATGCATCACCCCGTCTCCAGACATGACCACCAGCGCATCCCAGCGGCCCAGTTCCTCGGACTGCACCAGCTCCCTGGCGTGGTTCCGCCGCTCTGTGGGGAGACAGAGCGGCTATGTCGGGGGGAGGGGGTCACCAGCGGTGGATGCTCCCTGCACCCGCTTGGGGAGGCACTCACCCGTGAGTATGAGCGTGAAGGAGACATCAGCCTGGGCCAGGAGGGGCTGCACGTGGCTCCGGAAGAGCTGCAGGGCCTTGCCCTTGCCCCCACGCGGGTTGAGCAGCACCAGCACGCGGCAGGGCCGTGGGAGCAGGCTCCAGGGACCACCGGCTGCAAAAACAAACCCACAAAGGTGCAGGTCTCCAACCGGCCACTAGGAGGCTGAGGGTCACAACAGGAGGCACCGGTGGAAACGTGGTGCCTGAAATACCCGGGCCATTGATGCCATAGAGCCGGGCCAGAGGCAGCGGCCTCCAGTGGGGAGCTCCAGGGGGGATCAGCACGCCCTTGACACCCCCATCCTTGACTCCTGCCGGCCAGCTTCTGGCCTCCTCCCAGTGTCTCTCTAGCGTCCCCAGCCCCTCTCTTTTGTCCAGCCAACGCTGGACAGGGAGAGAAGGGACTCCCCCCTATATCCCTTCCCCACTGGGCCCCCACAAACCTGGATCCATAACCTCGACCCTCGGCTTCCGCTGCCAGGGCTTCCCCAGCGCTGTCGGGGTGCTGCCCTCGGCACTGGTTCCTGCCTTCAGCTCCTTATCGGTGCTGCCCAGGCGGGCGTCTCGCTGCCGGCTGTGGGGCTCGCCCTCCCCGCCGGGAGTCCGGGCTGTGGGGGCACCCGCGTCATTCCCCGCGGCTGCCGGATCTGAGGGAGAGGAGACAGCGCTGGCGGAGTCCGGGGTGGCCCCCTGAGGTGAGGGGCGCCCAGCCATATCCTCGGACCACGCACGGGGAGCAGCACACTCTGGCATCGCCGGAAGCCTGCGGGCTGGGGACCTAGCTTTCCCAGAGGTCCAGAAAGCCGAGGTCTGGTGGTACCAAAGGCGCTCCCGTCCTGGAACAGAACTCCCACCCCCAGGAGCGAAGGGTCTCTTCGTGGGGGCTGTCCCCGCTGGGGCCTCGGGTTCCGGCCCAACAGATGAGTCAGAGGCCGGTTCCTTTTTCCGTGGGATCACCCCCAGGGGGCTGCCAGGAGGAGGGGAGTCCAGTTCCGCAATAATTCCAAAACTTGAGCGGACATCGCGGGGCACGAAGTTCGGGCAAGCGATCCCTGCCCTAAGCCAGCCCGGTCGCCAGGTCCCCTACCCGGAGCTCCAGAGCGGCCGGGGTAGCCGCGCGCACCTCCAAGGGCCGGGCTCTGCCTGGACGCTCGCCGCGCTCGTGGGGGCAGCTCCGGGGTCTCGCTAGGGCTGAGCCCGAGTCCGGCCGCTAGCGGCTCCCTTCCTCCGCCAAGCGCCGAGTGGGCGCGGAGGCCACACAATGCGTGGCCCAGTTTTCTGGGCCGCCCAGGAGGCGCGAGCCGCGGGAGGGCTGGACGGGCGGCAGGTCCTACCCAGTCGGTCCGGTTTGCTCGGGAGGCGCCACCTCTGTTCCCGACAGTGGCCTAGGGAGGAACGCAGCCCGTCCCGGGCTCAGCCCCGCGTCTCAGGGACGACGGGGGCGCCGTACAAACGCCGACTCTGCGGCTTCGCTGCCTCCAGCCTCAAACTTTTCACTGAACTTGGCCGCCCCTCGCCGCGGTGCTGGGAGGGCGCTGAGCCTCCGCGCCCAGCCTGGCCACGCCCCGCGCCCCGCGCGCCC